TTTTTAATTCACGTTTGTGTTTGAACATTCTGCTGTACGTTCCGATCTGCTCATCGTTCTTTGGTTGCCTCTGAAGCTTCTTACTATCGCATTCACTGTTTCGCTCTTGCGACAAAACTGTGGCATGTTCGTTGTGTCGATCAGCAGTATCGTGTGGAACAGCGCATAAGCGACTATCAACGTGATAGCACTAAATAATTCGTTTCGTGGAAGTTATGTCATCGGTGTCGGTGTCATTAGTAGACAGCGAAAAGTCATCATTGTGGTCGAGCAAGAACTCCCAATATATACACGAAATAGGCAAGAGTTTTCATCGGTTCAAGTGAATAGCACACTCAGGACCTCTGCGAAAAATTATATAGGTGCTATACCACAGAACGATAAGTTGCAAGCAAGAATTGGCTTCTGTTCAAGTGAATAGCACACCCAGGACATCTGCGTAAAAGCATATAGGTGGTATACCACACAGTGATGAGTTTCTGTTTTACTTTGTTCTGGAACATTGATAATAATTATTGGGGTTTAACGTCCCAAAACCAGCATATGAGTACGAGAGACACCTTAGTAGAAGGCTCCAGAACATTCGCCGACTGGGGTTATTCAACGCGCACTTCAATTTTACGCACACGGGTCTGAAGCATTTTCGCCTTCATTAAAAATGCAGCGGCTATGACCGGGATTCGATTGGTACTCGGGAGAACAACCTATATAAAATCCATGTTGTCGGAGAAGTCTCCTAACGCATGTAATATTGCGTCGCATAGGTCTGGAACCGCACCAAACGTTTAAACACCGGTTAACCTAAAGATCCACCAGTTGAAAAGCATACATGCATAATTGATAATCCTTATCACCTACAGCAGCAACATAGTGTGCAGCTGCGAGGGTCTTATGTTGCCCTAAGCACGCATATTGCAGGCACTTAACAAATTTGGAAAGGAACAATTACACCGTAGTGGGCACTTCCCCTCTCTACACGTTGCAGGCCATCTAGGGTGGCTCACAACAGCCAATTTCATGCACAGAGACGCTCCTTTCCTTGCGGCACTGAGCTTATTTAGCAGCGAAGCCAGGCTAGCGATTAAGACTTCCATGCGAATGTGACCCGATTGCGGTGTAGTGTACACACTCGAAGGCAAAAATCAGGTATCGGTAAGGTTGCCGTAGCGTGAAGCATTTGTGAGCTGCTGCCTCAGTACCTTTCGGAAATTCGTTAAACTAAAGCATTTTGCAGAACCCAGCCTCCACTCTACTTTCTAAACGTTTGCAGAGAAAGGGTACAGTAATGTGTTTTTTCCCACTCTGTCAAAAGAAGTGTAGAGTAGAGAAGGCCATCTCTCTTTTCATGAAGTACTTCCTTTTTTTCAAGTTTGCCTGAATAGTGTTGAAAGAACCTTAAAAACTGTCCGTAGCAATAAAAGCTGCGTCGCTCACGACGTGTTTCACTGCTCTGACAGAATAACATGGGTGATTTATGCGTCAGTATTATCAATACGTTTTCTATTTAGCGGCGTAGTATAGATTGTCGCTTCTGCATAGCGCAATAAAAACCTCGGGGTGTTTTCGCTCCTGCAATTATATCTGTTAAACAATCCGCGGTTCAAATAACTAAATATATATAAATAGAAATGCTACCTTTTTCATGGCATAAGTCTTTTCTGCAATGCTCCACTTGCATTGTAACGTGGTGAAATGAGCGCTAACTAAAACGACAATTAGCAATCCGCTTCCTTTCATTATTTTGGAGCTAAAACACATGGGTTACAGAGAAGTGTACGTGCGAAACAGAAAATGAAACACAAGGTTTTTCTATGCGACAGGTGGTGGGAACCACAATACCGCATTGTTAACTCTATTTACGTAGGTGCTTCTCTGTATAACTTCTATGAAGTTGCTGTACCGTCCTTCACAGTGCCGCCTAATAAGTATGATGTATTGAAGAATGCATGTTTCTTTTTTGGCCTAAGAAGAAGTGCCTATGTTCTGTGGAATTTTTTAGACACTCGCTTCTTAGTAATACTTAGCGCAAAAATTTCGGTTTTTAAAATATGCTTACAATGCATCCGAATTGTGCAGCCAGGTGGCAAAAGTCACAACGCTGCTAATAGCAGTTTAGGACTATCTCGAGAATATAGTTTGGCAATTAAGAAAAAGGAATTGCTGTGCATGGAGTGATTTGGTAAAGTGTAGAATGCTTTAATTTGCCTGAAAATTACCTGTTGTGCCTTCAATCTCCTCTGTCACGCACATAGTACTGATTCTGCGTTGCTCCTGACAAAGTATTTCTTAAAACTTATGAATTTCACTGCAGTAGAAAGGCAGTGTTATATATGAACAAATTTTTTTCTCAAGTAAGAAAAAAAATCATATGACTTTTTGTCATAGTTAAAGAAAGAACACCATAAAGGCTTCGTCAAGCTCCATTACTAGAGAAATAAAATTTTGATCATGAGAGAAAGTCCTTTGAAGAATTACATTAATATTTCCTCAAGAACAACATCCGTATTTTCTATATTCATTTTAGGAAATAAGAAACATTACCGGTCTCTCCTTTTTTGCATTGGAGTCCGCAAAATAATGAATCTAAACGCAAACAGAACAACTGCAACAGTAATTATGAAACTGAAATGTTTAACCACAGACTGTGAAATCTGTGCTTAAGCCATAACTATAAATTTTAAACCGTAGTCGCCGTAACATCACTGTAACACCATAGGAATAAACTTTAAAAATATCTTCTAAGCTCTTTGGTTATCTGCTAATTAACCTGGATGTTCTCCCATAAATATACTTGAAACGCTGGTTTTGGGGAAATGACTCGGTTTGTGAATTCAGACAATGCTTCATCCAACCAATGTTTTCTTTAGGGCAAACAAATTTCGCTTTTCGCAGCATTTCAAGGAACCCGGTAAAATTTACGTTCCGCTTTCTATAAAAAATCGCTTGGTTGCCAGAACAAAACACATACGCGCATGTGTCCTTGCGAGGAGTATACAGTTGAAAGGGGAAGGCTACCATCTATACAAACAAGAAAATGCCATTTATTTGGTCGGCATACTCACAACGCTGATTTTCAGCTGTTTAGAAAACATATTGGAACCTTGGTAAAAAAACAACATGTGCAAAAGTGCTTTTATTTTTAATGGTGGCAATGACGAAATAATTTTGTTGGACTCTCTCAAAAAAAAAAAAAAAAACACTACACCTGTGCGGAACGCTGGAAGAGCCGCCTTTCAAACACTTTTCTAAACTCATTTTGGTTAACTAATACAGCACCCTTGCTGGGTATGCGTTACGCCAATAACAATAACCCTGAACAATAAGTTCAGGGTAGTATGCCGGCATTTACTATGTTTTATCCTTCGCTATTCTGGGAAGTTTGGTATCCGCTCAACATTTGCAAGAAATGTTGTGCCAGTTGTCCATGCAGTCACTGACGACGATGAAAAATTATGCCTGAAGTGGGTATGCACTCCTCTAATGCGTACTTTGCCCCGTGGAGAGGGGGGAGGGGGTTCGGTATACGCTCCTTCGTGTCCGCTTCTCCTGCGGTGGGGGAAAAAACATGCGCCTTCGTGTTTCACTGGCAGAATTGGGTAGTAGTTGCCGGGCACACGAAAAGTTCACTACGCTAGCTGCACAGGCCCCGTTAGCAAAAAGAACGCGCTTTACAGACACAGCAAAGTGACAACTGGGACACTTTTTAGTTTGCATGCATCTGTACCTGTGATTCCGTTTCGTGCGTCGTTTTTTTTTTTTGCAAACAGCGCGTTGAATATTGAGCTGTAAACTTTGTTCGTTCGCATTCATCCTGCGTGTGTTTTTTCAGTGCGTCATTGGGATGTGAGCAGCGCGCAGCACGTTCCGATCTGCTTGCCGTTCTCAGCGTTATATTCCAAGTTGTTGCTATCGCATTCATTGCTTGGCTCCTGCCGTGAAACTGCGACTTTTTAATGTGCTCGAGCAGCCAACTACGCAGAAGTTATGTCTCGACGTCACAGAGTGCCAACACATTCGTTAAATCATGGTGAACAACGCACTCTTCCATGAAATTGCCACGCTCGCGGGAACGCTACTCGCCTGAGCCCGTCTCTGCTTTTGACCCGAAGGGGCAGGTAGCATTGTCAGGGCTTTGCGCATTGCCTATAAACTGTGCCTTCGTAACGACCCCCGTCATCCCGTGCAATGCATCTAGGAACACTGTATATACATGCATAATTAATATATATATATCTATATGCCAAATAAAAAAATAAATACCTATTCATTCTGGGCTCACAAAATACTGGACTCAAATATTCGCCAACGTTATTATTGTTTCGTCGTACTGCATTGAACTTTCTCCACTCCGTGTTTCGTTTTAAGCATTGGTACGATGCTTTTTACAGAGAGCATTGTCACGCCTGTTCATAAACATTAACAATTGTATTCTGGTGTCCGTCGCATTATCTGTTTGCTGTGCTCTGTGCAGAGCGCAGCAATTCTTGACAATCGTAGAGACTCTTCGACATTATTTTGTTAACATTACTCGCAGAAACCCAGTTATCAAGTGTATTCGAAAACTAACACGAGCACGAACAATAACACAGAAAGGTTTGATTACTGCCCTACAAAAGACGATGCTCTTTGCAGTTTAATTCTCCGTTTCTCAGCCATAAGTTCTTCCTAATAAAAGTTTCGTGTTTCCCACTCCTGCTGTCGCTTTCTTCACCTTAGGGCTACGGTATAGTATATTCGTATTGTTGTTGTCATTTCTCCCGATTACACAGTTTAGCTGGTTGTAAAGAAATGGCAACTATATATTATTGAGTGTGGGCAAATATACCTTACAAAAGTCATTAAGAATTTACTCCGGAGTAGCGATCCTGAAAGTATGCTCCGCTTCTTCTATTATTTTATGAAGAACTTTACCCTTTAGAGGCCCCACAGACTTTATTTTTTTATAAGACGAAGCCTCCAAGTAGTTGCACAAGAATTATTGAAGAAAATACTAAATGGTCATACAGAAGTAACGTCTTTAGTCGTATATCTCAGAATCACCAAGCGGTGTCACAATAACGTATTCAAATTTGCTTTATAGAAGACGTTATGTTTGTAGATACGTTTACAAAAAATACGTTAGCGCTCCACTTGGCCAATGGCTAGTCTTCGACTGTGGAATTCGTCATCGTTCCTGGTTCTTTGCTGTGGAGTATGTTTTGGCACATTGGTCTGTAGATCACTTGTCCTCTAAGGTCACGCCTCTTGAATTTTCTAACACAGTCTCTTCGAGGCCCTTTTGCCACAGATGAATTTCTGAGTCGCAAATCATAGCTGCGAAATGTACCTAGGAAAAGAAACAAGGATGTTCAAAAACGGTTATTTATTAAGAAAGCCAAGAAAGGTTAAATATTCATAATACTGCTGCTGATCATTGACAACATACGGGTATTACTATATCCGTCTCCTTGTACTTGGCATGGTTTGAAATTGTTCCTAGCAACTAATATGTAAAACAACTGCATTTAATTTGAACAGAGTGTTGTAACAAGCAGGGACGTTTCGGCTTCTCTGCTCATATGAGTTGAATTAAGCCAGAACCACCTCAGACAATTCTCGGTGCCAGTATAAGAACGATGGATATGCAGATATTTCAAGATGGCTTGACATTCATGCTGAAGCGTGCCTGATTCACATTAGAGTTTTGTAATTCAATTATTCATTCTTGTCGCTCTAAATGGTGTATATTTATTGCCAGTACTGTTACAGTCCCCAGCATGCTAGTTAGTACAAAAGCCTTCACAATAAAGCAAATTCAACTATCGATTTTAGCATTGATGGTCAGGTGTTGGCAGGAACCGAACACAAGGCACTAATAAGATTTTCTTATTCGTCTTCGTGTATCAGGGTTAAATGCAGTAATACTAGAAAAATGAAGGTTAGTCCTAAATGCTCACCCTGAGAAGCTGCATGTATAGGCAATTAAGAGCACACGGGGAAGGTAAGCGCCAGTCTTCCTTCTATACTTTATGTTTACTTGCAAAGAATACGGTGCAATGGGATATACCATACACATGAATTGAATTCGCACTTGTTGCACCTTGTAGTCCCGTTTAGCCAACCATGATTGACGTCGGCGGTCTCAAACATCTTTCCTTGAAAAGATGAAAAACCTCGGCGTCTGAATATATAAAGCAATACTTGGACTGAATTTTGGTATCTAACTTTTTCAAGTTATATGAACATGAACAGTGAAAAAAAAAACAAAAAAGCAAAATGAAGGAACTGACCGCCGAACAATCTTGTGACCATGAACACTGCGCAGCTGTGATCAGAACTCATGTAGAGCATCTCTTCGTGCAGGTCATAAACACCCCCTGAAATTTCAGATGCATAGATGGTATTTAGAAAAATCTGATTAAGGATATACCAGGTATATCACACATCATTATTTTGTGTACGACGTACTCAGCTAATATCGTTTCATAAGATCGAAGGTAGAAAAAAATGTTGAGCAAGTTTTTTCAGTTTGCCCTGTATCACTGTGTAATTATTGTGATTTTGACTCCTAAAAAGTAATATGCACGTACAAATTGAATTCTGGTTTCAATCTTATTCATGATATAATGTAAAACTTCAATGATGACAAATGTCGCAAGTATACATTTAAAGCAGAGCTGGAAGCATGCACCAAGTTTTACAAACGCGAAAATGGTAAAACCAGCATAATTCGTAATAAGCAGCTCCCTAAGAAAGGACCGAGCTTTGAGCGGTTTAAAGAGATTAGCCACCGAAGCTGCATTGTTACCAGATCTGCTTTTAACCTGCAGATACTTCGTCAAAATATGTGAGTAATAATCATGTATTTTCAATGAAACTTCACTAAACGGCACTGCGAGTTTTACCAGGCTGAAGCTCGCATCTGTGGTCATCAGGGAAAAGTCTCACTATTTGTGGTATACAAACAACATATAAAAAATCTAGAACATAGTGGCACACATTCAGCACCTGCAAGAAAGTTTCATACAATAAACGGGGGAGAGGGTGTTTCCTTCAAGTGAAGGGCGTGGCTGTACCATAGATGTGACAACGCCATGAAGTCGGAAAGAACAGCTAAATTCTTTGGAAGTGCTTTGGCTCTGTGCTTGAAAAACTACTAGGTTTGCTTTGTGTCCCGAATTACGTTCGTTGATATTGTTATGGCGTTTATTAGTAGGCACACAGCGAGTATACACAATGGCGACAGTAACGGCCAAGCACGGACTCTCAGCGCAAGCGGCGTCCTTTTTTGGGTAGACCCACTAGAGAACACTTGAGAGTTTGACCCACTTCAGTGTTCGGCGGCTTCTCTACAATTACCCCGGGGTCGAAGAGGGAGCCGCCTGGCGACCTAACAGCTTGTCACTATGAGCGGGTCATAGTAAGCCTTCAGGCGCTCCACGTTGACTACGTCGCGCCCGCGACGGCGCATGTCCGAAGATTGTTCAATTGGCTCGACAAGATAGTTGACTGGAGATGTGCGCTCGATCACACGGTAGGGACCTTCATATTTCGGGAGTAGTTTGGAAGAAAGGGCAGCTACAGAGGTCGGGATTGAGAGCCATACAAGGGAAACAAGAAGGAACGTGGGTTCAGAAGTGGCGGAGCCATCACGAATACTCTTCTGCTGCTCTTGCTCATGCGTCGTAAATGTCTTGGCCAGCTCGCGACACTTTTCAGCAAGCCTGGCTGTCTCGGAAACAGGTGCACACTCAGATGGATCCGGCGTGTACAGGAGTATCGTGTCGATGGTGTGTGACGGGTGCCTTCTGTACAGCAAGAAGAAAGGTGAAAAACTGGTCGTGCTCTGAGGGGCGGTGTTGTAGGTGTAGGTGACGAAGGAAAGTATAGTATCCCAATTCGTATGGTTGGCGGCGACGTACATCGAAAGCATGTCGCCGAGGGTGCGGTTAAAGCGTGCGGTCAGACCATTCGTCTGCGGGTGGTAAGCAGTTGTTTTGCGGTGGACAGAATGGCACTCCGTGAGAATGGCTTCGACGACTTCTGACAAGAAGACAAGGCCTCGATCGCTGAGAAGCTTCTGAGGTGGACCGTGGCGCAGTATAAGTCGATGCAGTAGGAAGGACGCAACATCACGCGCAGTAGCCGCAGGGATAGCAGAGGTTTCGGCGTATCGCGTTGAATGATCTACGGCGGCGATGGCCCAGCGGTTACCAGCCGACGTCAGAGGAAGCGGTCCATACAAATCGATACCTATGCGCCCAAACGGATGCTCAGGGCAAGATAACGGTTGCAGACTGGCTGGCGACATGTGTGCTGACAGTTTGCGGCGTTGGCAAGCGAGGCAGGAGCGAACGAACTGCTGCACGTAGCGGTACATCCCGCGCCAGAAGTAGCGTTGTCGAATGCGACGGTAGGTTTTGAATACCCCAGAGTGCGCGCATTGCGAATCAGAATGGAAGGATTCACATATCTCTGACCGCAGACTGCGGGGTATCACGAGTAACCACTGCCGGCCATCGGCGTCGTAATTGCGTCGGTGTAGAAGGCCGTCACGGATGGCGAAATGGCGAGCCTGACGACGCAAGGCACGCGTGGATGGCGTTGCGGATGGATCAGAGAGCAAGTCGATGAGCGGGCCGATCGAATTATGCTTTCGCTGTTCGGTAGCAATGATGTCAACATATATGGCAGAAACAGCAGCCGAGGATACTGAGCAGAGCATATCACCTTCAGGCAGAGGGGAGCGCGAAAGGGCGTCGGCGTCAGCATGCTGGCGTCCGTTGCGGTACAGCACGCGGATGTCGTAGTCTTGTAAGTGAAGAGCCCAACGGGCGAGACGGCCTGAGCGATCCTTCAATGATGAAAGCCAGCATAGTGCATGATGGTCGGTTACGACATCGAATGGGCGACCATACAAATAAGGTCGAAACTTTGTAAGGGCCCCGACGATCGCCAGGCACTCTTTCTCCGTGACGGTGTAGTTTGTCTCAGCACTCGTGAGCGTACAGCTTGCATATGCTATGACATATTCGGATAATCCAGGTTTGCACTGCGCCAGGACATCGCCGAGACCTGCACCACTGGCGTCTGTGTGCACCTCCGTCGGTGCCGTAGGGTCGTAGTGGCGTAGAATGGGAGGAGACGTCAGCAAACGGCGGAGCTTCGCGAACGCCTCGTCGCACTCAGACGACCACGAATTGAGGGGCCCGTTACTTCCAAGGAGCTTCGTCAGCGGTGATATAATCGTAGCAAAGTTTCGTATGAAGCGTCGGAAGTATGAGCACAGGCCCACGAAACTACGCAGTTCTTTGACGGACGCAGGTTTGGGAAATTCAGCCACGGCCCGAAGCTTGGCTGGGTCAGGAAGAATGCCATCCTTAGACACGACGTACTCTAGGATGGTGAGTTGCCGTGCTGCAAAGCGGCACTTCTTCAGATTTAGTTGCAAGCCGGCATTGCTCACACGTGCGAAAACTTCTTTCAGACGTTGGAGATGCGTGGAGAAATCTGGGGCGAACACAACAACGTCATCGAGGTAACACAAGCACGTGTGCCATTTCAAGTTGCGCAGAACGGTGTCCGTCATGCCCTCAAAGGTCGCAGGTGCATTACGTAGACCAAACGGCATGACGTTAAATTCGTACAAGCCGTCGGGTGCGATGAACGCAGTCTTCGGTCGAGCGTCATCAGCCATAGGTACTAGCCTGTACCCAGAGCGCAGATCAAGAGAAGAAAAAAATTCAGCTCCGTGAAGGCTGTCAATTGCGTCATCGATGCGCGGCAGTGGGTAGACATCCTTGCGAGTGATCTTATTGAGCCGTCTGTAGTCCCCACAGAACCGCACAGAACCATCTTTCTTCGCGACAAGAACAACAGGAGACGCCGATGGACTGTCCGAGGGCCGAATGACGTCGTGTCTGAGCATATCATCAACCTGCTCGTTAATTTCCCGTTGTTCAGCAGGCGACACGCGGTAGGGACGTTGCCGTAATGGTGGATGGGCACCAGTGTCGATACGATGTGTAACAGTGGACGCGCGACCGAGAAAACTGCGCCCGACATCGAAAGAAGATTGATATTCTCGCAGCAGGTCCAGAAGCTGGGAACGCTGTACCAACGTAAGATTGTCATCAATGTAAGGGCCAAATACATCAGGAGAATATGAATCATAAGTGGAAACAGCGCTGACAGTACACGAACTGGGACAACGCGAGTCATCAGGTACGTCCAGGACTTGTGCGTTATCCACTGGTTCCACTCTGCCGAGACATTCCCCTCGAACCAAGGTAACAGTGTACGGGGATGGGTTGGTCACAAAAATAGCGGCGTTGCTCTGGATGATTTGCACGGTCGCGAAAGGTACTAGCAACCCTTACCTTCGGCAAGCACGGTCGGATGACGAACCGAGTGCTATTCTGTCGGAGAGTCCAGCGCAGTAGACAGATAAACCCATCGCCGAGCTTGGAGGCACTATGGTATCGTCTTTCACGAGAATCTTACTCAGTTTCGAAGGACTGTCTTCCGGCGTGAAATGCGAGAAGGGTGAGAGTTCAATTTCAGCAGCACAATGGATGACGGCATCGTTGCGGGAGAGAAAATCCCACCCCAGCATGACGTCATGAGAGCATGCAAGAATGATGATGAATCGGCCGACATACAGAACGTCCTGAATGACAACGCGAGTTGTGCACTCTGCTGAAGGATGGATAAGATGTGAACCGGCAGTACGAAGGGACAACCCAGAAACCGGCGTCGTCACTTTTCCAAGCAAGTGGCAAAAGTTTTCGTCCATAACGGATACTGCAGCTCCAGTGTCAATAAGAGCAGATGCATGAACACCGTCCACAAGCACGTCTATGACATTAGATGAGCGCCTCTGAGGGCTTTCACATCGCAATACCATCGCAGTCCTTGCCTCGGGGACTGCGACGACTAGTTTTCCCGCTCATGAGTAGCCGAACTTGGCCTCATGGGGGACAGGGAACGACGTCGTGGAGACGGCGACCTTCGAGGAGATGGACCTGGGCGAGACGGCGGTGGCATAGACGGTGGTTCGTCGTGATAGGGACGGCTGAGGTGGCCAGCAATAGGCGAAGAAATTGGAGCCGGCTGTACACGATGGCAATAACGGGCTACGTGACCGGCGTAACCGCAGGCAAAGCAGATGGGCTGGTTGTCGGGTGTGTGCCATCGGTTCGCTGGGGTAGGTCTTGTCTATGACGCAAGAGCCGACGGACGGAACGGTGGCTGGAAAGGCTGCAGGGGGTGCTGCAGCTGAGTTTTAGAGGTCAGGTTAACATACGTAGCCGGCATAGCCACTGCAAAAGATGGAGGTCGTGCAACAGCTTCGGCGTAAGTCAGTGGGGCGGGTGGTTGAACGACTTGAGGCAGCCTGGCGACCACTTGGGCGTAACTTGGGGGCGCAGGGGCCGGAAGCTGTTGTGGTTAGTACGCAGGCATGACCTCCGCTATTTTCTGCTCAATGGCTCGGCGAATGGGTGGAAGAATAGTAGTGGCCGATTGTTGAGCAGCCGGTGGGTGGGCAAAGGGCAGGAGAGAGAACTGCCGCGCGATTTCCTCACGTATGAAGGACTTGAGGTCTGCCAGCAGTGCCACCTGATCACAGCTCGCCTACAAGCCTGCAAGCCCTGCATCTCGTGGTGTGGAGCGACGGGTCATCGAACGCTGCCGGCGGAGCTCCTCGTAGCTCTGGCACAGCGTGATGACCTCAGCTACTGTGCCTGGGTTTTTGGCAAGCAGCATCGTGAAGGCGTCATCGTAAATGCCCTTCATGACGTTCCGGATCTTGTCTGATTCGGACATGCTGTCGTTGGATTTCTTGCAGAGGTCCAGGACATCTTCTATGTAACTGGTGAATGATTCACCGGCCAGCTGAGCGCGCTCGCGTAAGTGCTGCTTGGCTTGCAGCTTACGAACGGCAGGGCGGCCAAAAACGTTGGTGATAGCGGTCTTGAAATTTGACCAGGTTGCGAAATCGGACGCGTGGTTGTTGTACCACAAGCTTGCAACGCCCGCAAGGTAGAACACCAAGTTTGTCAACTTGCCATCCTCTTCCCATTTGTTGGGGACGCTCACGCGCTTGTAAATAGCGAGCCAGTCCTCCACGTCAGTGCCATCGGCGCCCGTGAAGATGGGTGGATCTCGGATCCTGGGGACACCGGGACAAGGGGGTGGCATGGGAGGAGGCGTTTGCTGAGAGGCGTCGTGGGACATGGTAGATCACAGGGTACGTGAGCGCAGTTTGCAGGGCATCAAAGGGGATCGTAGCACTCTCCACCAATTTGTTATGGCGTTTATTAGGAGGCACACAGCGAGTATACACAATGGCGGCAGTAACGGTCAAGCACAGACTCTCAGCGCGAGCGGCGTCCTTTTTTTGGGTAGACCCACTAGAAAACACTTGAGAGTTTGACCAACTTCAGTGTTCGGCGGCTTCTCTATAATATAATCACTGATAGTTTTAAAGCTGCCCATGAGTTGCACGCTGAACCGCTTATCATGATGCAGCAATAGTGTGGAGGTAAAGCATACGCATCAGAATGATTCTCGTTTACGCAGAATTTTAGACCAGCTGAAAAGAATGGGCGCGATGTTGAAACAAACCGGAAGAAGCGGCCTAGTATTGGTGACCAGTGCCAGTGACGCGCTTTCTCACGATGCTTCTAACAGGAACCCCAAAAGACATGTACAATCGCATCTTGTATCCGTCTTAGCGTCCATGGTGTTTTTCCTTGGGTGTTACGCGCTATTAGGTCAAGTATCATCAATCGGCAAGTTACAAAATCAGCCACTCTGAGAAGTCCCTTAAAAATTACTGGCCAGTTTCTTAACTAGGAGGCAGCAAAATGGGAATGTGCCTCACCCTCCGCATTTTTTTGTTGCGGTCGCATACGTGTTCTGCCACAATTCGCGTGTGACTCGGGATAACTGAAAGCAACAACATGGTAAAAAAGATATGTGTTCTTAGGGTCGAGATATTTTTATGCAAAACGCCTTATATTGTTTACAGAAAAACAATTTCACAGCCAGGCATTGGTGCTTAAAAGATAAGCTGAATACAAAAGAAGCAGTGCGACCTTGGTCTCTGTAACTGTGGTTTCCTACCTGGCGTCACGCAGTGAATTCCACATATAAGGCACGAGAATGCAAGCGCGTCCGGAAAGTCTGACAAGAGGCATGTTTGAGGTGGAGAATATGGTCTTCAACGTGGTTTTGGTGAACATATATACACCGCTCAGTGTGCGCCTCAGTGGTGTTGTCATCAGCGATATACCGTGGTGTACTCTACACAGTAGTTTGAACGTTAATGCCGACATTCATACTTACACCTTTGTTAACAAAGCAATCTCCGCCAGCCGCTTCATAATCTCAAATAATTCTACTGCGTTTACACCCTAAGTACCACAGCCGGAGCTCAGGTGTTTTGTAATCATTCGATAGGCTTCAGCACTTCCTCTCTCAGCGCTGCCTTTCTGCCCAGTGTCTTTGCTACAGACATTTCAACATTGTTCTTCTTTCCTTCTTGCTCGCAGAAGTTAGCACGCCAGAGGAATTGAGCATGATCAGAATTTTCTAAGTGCCTCCATCAATTTGTTCGAATCATCGCAGCTGCAAAGTGTCAGTTTTCAAAAACACAAAAAGCTGCTCGCTCTGTAGTGTGTACATTTCAAAGCACCTGTAGGAAGCGGAACAAAATAATGGGAACAATGGAGCCCAAGTACTTCACGTACCTTCTGTGTGCACAAGCATGTGCTTCTTTCGGCGTTCGTGGAATTCGCCATGCAATACCGCAGATGTTCTGTGAAAACAAGATGCAAAACAAGAAGTATGGTTCACCGAGTATGTGTGCGACTGGGGAAGACACAACTCATGCTTATGTACTGTAGTTGTGAATGAAAAACGTTCACCTGTGTTGGCCGAGATATTATTATTTTTAATTCGGCGGTCAAAAAGTTCATAAGCAAATGTGATTTAGGCTGGAAACTCGTGCTTCACAAAGCAAATAAAGCATATATTTATAATCAAACATAACTGCTTACCTTCCTTTGCGGTCGTAAGACGCTCGAGTGAAATTTATTGCAGTGGCGGAAATGTTTATCATCACATCCACTTCGCATAAAATGTCCGTGCGTCTGCTCGTTGTGTACGTCCATATAGGTTCTTTAGAATCGAGAAACTACATGGAGAAAAATAGTAGGTTCATTGGTATAGAGCATTTCATAATCGTGTGTTATATACGTATATTTGTGTTAAAATCACGAAATGCTGTTGATAAAATATTGAAAGTATATGGTTGACATGGTAAACATATACGCCTACAAAGGAACCTTTGAGTGAGACATTGTAGAAGAGCCCATTCTCTTTCTAATAAGCAAGAACTTATACGAGCCCAGCAGTAGAGAACACGACAATGGAACATTCTTTCCACAGGAAAGAAAGTCACTTCTATTATCAGAGTTCGCATGAACGGCAACATATATTTCGTCTTGTTCAGCAGTCATGTTATCATGCCTTATTTTAGGCTGATTGCTCCGCATATGTTAATAAAATCTGCATACGCCCTCACAAGAAAGCTTTCACTTTGTCCTTCCAAATTTTGCTTGTGCTGCCTGCTGGTGTCTCGTCTTGCGTGCCAATGGTCAGAGCACAGGGGAGAGTGGATGCGCTACACCGATGTAACGGGCAATAAACCAGTGGCAATGTGCACGATCGTGTATGTGTCCAGTAATAGAAACCAAGGAAGACAAGTGTAACAAATGTTCGACAAAACATGACCAGACAAGATTTTTAGTATGGAGAACGATGCAACGACGAGAAAAAAGCCAACTTAACACTAACACATTCCTGAGGATAGGGTTAAAATAGAGCGTGCTACGTATATAAACGACGCGAGGGGGAAGTTTACCAAAACTCTATCTCACAAGCTGGCGGCAGCATTATGAAAGCTGCGGGTGCATGGCGGTTGTATCCCAACGCACCACAAAATCGTAGGCTCATTGGGAATGTATCTTATGTTGGTCGTAAGTGCTTTTGTGCGTGCTCCTGAAATGTGAAACCAACTAGAAGCCCGCGCTATGACTATTTTGAGGATTTCCACTTTAGTATTGTACTTTGTTTAGTGTTTTTAACCTTCTGCCAACTTCAACTATTAAAGAGATCCCTGCACTTTCACGATTTTAGAAGTCTATGAATTGAGCACAAATTTGTTAGCATTTTCAAAAAAGCAATGAATAAATCATGTGGGTAATTAAACATGGGTTAAAAACGGGAGGCGAAAGCTGTAAAAAGTGGTGCGCCGTTCTGGAAAAACATGGCTTCATCCAGTGTATAGCCGCGTCTAGTTCATGCCGTTCTTCGAAATTTCAATTTTATTCGAAAGAGGCGAAGACGCTAGTGCTAACTGTCCTAGATACGCTTTGGAATGATTGCGTAGAAGGAGCCAGCATGACGTTTCTCGTTAAGAAGACTGCACAGCAAATAATAGTGAGCGAGTGGGTGCTGTAGGAGTGGGTGTCTGAAAAAGGTAAGGCGGGCAGAGAGTGTTGGCATCGAAGAGGCGTTGTGGTGGGAAAAGACACCTACGAAAAGATAACCTGGACAACTTTTGTCTTGAGAATGCTCCGATGGACTGTGCACAGTTTTTTTCGCGGAAACGAGACCCGCACTGCCACCAAGCTTAAGCACCCCCTCGCAGAGGAAAACTCGTTGCCATCCATGTTGACAGCAACTATGTACAGGATGTTGAAAAATCTTGTCTTCCGATGTAATAAGCGGTCTATAAAATGCGCTATGACGTGTGCCACGTTTGTGCGTATGCTAGGAAGCTGTCGTATTCTCCTGTGTCTCTTTCGTTTAGTATGTGTAGTGACATAACGATGCGCGAAAAACAAACCGGCTGGTACAAAAAGACGCTTGCTGGCAACCTGGCTCCATCCGTTTCACGCTGACTTTGTGTAGATCGTAAAAAGGATCAGTGATGACATCGGGCTTTTTGTATACTTCTAAATGTTAGCTACTTCAAATAACGCAAGCGGTAAACATCTCCACAGTGGTTTGGGTGTCTGAACAGTCAAGTATCACATAATTTGGGTAATGTCAACATCTTCTACCTCTGTTTGGGGGGGGGGGGGGCGCTTGGTAAGAACAGACATTCAGGAATTATGTCGCCCCACGTGATTTTGTGGACGGTGCATTCTGGAATACGTCGCGACGAGAAAATTCTGAAGTAATAAAATTAAAGAGTATTGCTTTAAAACAGGAGAAGACTCAGTATAAACAGGTAACCTTCTTATGTTTTTATCGGATTCCACGAGGAGCAACATCTAAATACAAAAACTAACAAACCCAGTTCTTGAGCACTGTGGCGTGGTTCATTTGGCATCAGACAGCAACAAAAGGTTAACGTCGAAACGAAAGTTTCAAAAATTTTTCCATTCACCAATCTGGAATCGAACTTTGGTTCACTGAGTTGCGAACAACCTCTTGGTGCGGGCACTAAAAAAATTAGGCCACAGCTGAAAATGTTCGTCAGTTAATAAAACGCGAAAGAACTTGTCTTCGTGGTTAGTTGAAATCGGCCTAGCGTTGGTAGTGCTGCAAAAAGCTTGTGAGACTATGTATATAATTTCTGTTCTCCAATGTAAAGATATATAGAATAGTTTTTTTTTGCGCAAATTTCTCTGCAGTTGAACCTTCTTTGATCATTGCCTCAAACAGCGCCGCCGTATTTTGCAGGCTTCCAGAACACATTGTTCTGAATTTAGTGATTTACATAAGAATAGTGGTGCACAAAAAAAAAACTGCCTAAATGTTCCGACTGCAATATTGACGAGTATGCGTCTTTAATCAATACGAACCGGAGTAGCGCCTATTTATTTTTCAAGCGAGAATGTTATTTGCTATGAGCCTTGGGTAAGCATGCATATGTTCCTGTTCGCCGAAATTGCTGCTGCACTAGATCAAAGATATAGCATCTTAGTGGTTCCAACTGAAGTCAAGCTGAGTCACATGAAGAACATGGGTATGTTCATGTGGAATTTGTCGTTCACGCGTATCATGAAGCTCAGAAGATCAAACGCGTTCGTAGCACTGCATTCGGAATACTGTATTACTGCTATGCTCGCTGGGCACACATTGTCGAATACGTCTGGGTAAAAATGTTTCTATTACAGTGAAAAAACACAAGGCCGTAAAAGAAGTTGAGCTTCACAATCCTATTGTGCTGAGTACTATATTTTTCGCACCGACTAGCAGTCCCGACGGATTTAAAACAGATGGAAGCCTTTTATTCAGTAACACTTAATACACAAAGGGTCGTTAGAAAAGTAATGACAAGCAGTATGGAAGTTCGGAACGGTAGAGCACTATATTGTGCATGCAATGCGTTTACGTTTGAGCACTACTTCTGCAGCGGCGACTCCACTGATATGATGAAGTAAAACCCTCTTCCATAGAGGATAAACACACAGAAGTGATCTCACCTAAAGCGAAAATGGTTATTTGAGTGCTCGAGCGGTTTGGATTTCCGTTTTTCACAGTGTACCACGCTTCTTAATGTCGTGAAGTTGTAACTGACAATATCATGAATTTCAAAGTCGTGAAGTTCTAAACGTCAAAAATATATTGCTGCTTGACAGCAACAAAATGTTATTGAGCTATTGCTGAAGTAGGTCCGATATACCAGTTTGTAATTATGGTGTTTTAGGAGCCTTGTCTACAGGGTTGTATAAGCGTGAATAGATTACTCTTGTAGTCAAGTCCGCATGGTCACTGATTGAGCAAATACAAAATATTAGCTAAAAACTAGCCTTCTTTCAAGTTGAAAACTCAAAACACTATTGTCAATTTTAATAACGACATTTATTTTCAAGTGGTGTGTCGCGAAGATGAAAACTCCAAAGTGAAATGTGCAATTGGTGTCTATATTGCTAGCACAGTAGTGCAGTGTTGCTTCTGAAGTACACACTACAAGGACAAGCTTGATAGTGATGTCAAGCACTCAGAATGACATTATTGATGTTTCAGGCGACATGCTGAAGTTCGAACAAGCTTCCAAATAAACGTCCTACCTTATGAATTTTGTAGGTCTTTCTCCGAAAGAAGTTGAATGCGCACTCCAACACGGTCAACGACGAGGCAAGTAGAACTATAGCGAGAATAAGTTTTCTCGACATTTTTTGGGTACTAATTTATGCAGCGATACTGGAAAATGTACAAAACTTGAGCCAGCAGCCCACGTGACAGTGAACGTACTCAGATACGGGTAACGACATACTGCGCTCCCCGCCCATTGTTTCCTAGGACTTGCAGCTGTGCGAACAAAGACAAATGGCACTGGTAAAGGCCTTGCAGCGTTTTGAAAGACAAAATTTTTGGCGCGAGACATAAAAAAAACGCGATATTGTTGGCGGGCTTTGAAAATTTATTGAACCTTGTTTTGAGACAAAACTGGTCATAATATTCTTCTATTGTATATTTTAGAAGACATATCGTGTGCGCAATTTATAAAACAGGAACGCGGTAAACAAGCTGCTAAAGTGACTGCAATACTTTTTTTGCATTAAACATGCTGCATGAGCAAGACTCCTAAATTTAGAAACATTACGAGAATATCAGGAACCATGCCTGCACCCTCTGTTTGGTAATCGGTATAACACGAAAGTGAAACGTTTCTTCACAGAGGTAGATGGGCGTTTATGGTGCATTGTTTTAATTGCCGCAAGCGCGAAGGAATAAATGTTACACCAACAACTTGCAATGCCACGCGGAAAAAATTAAGCAGCTGGAATTTCGCAACACGCACCTCAAGCACAAAGCACGCATAAAATGAACGAACAAGTATACACAGGGCGTGTGCAAACAACTGTCACAATATTTGCTTCTTCATGAGAGCAGCGCACTATTTTTATAAGCGTGGCCACATGCCTTGCACGATGTGATTGTCGTACAGTCTTTCACCGCTGCAATTTCAGAGTAATCCTGCGGTTGGTGCACAAACGTACTTAGCGCCTCATGAACAAGGTAAGTGTGCTTGATCCAACAAGCATGGCCTGGCGAGGCGTGCGCGCTTTGCAATGCATGAGGCGACGACTTAAAAGGCTGGTGCACACCGGCGACTAACTGCGGTCACGCGACCATTTGCGACTGGTCGCAAACAGTCGCGACCGTTAGCAAACGGTAGCAAAGCGACTGCTTTAGGCTAGTCGCTTCCTGACCGTTTTTTCAGTCGCGCGACTGCAGTTGCAAAGCTGCTGGAACCAATCAGCGATGCTCAATTTTTGTTGTTTGTTCTTTCATTGCGCTGGCGAGAACGGATAAAAACAAGAAATGCGGCGCGCTCGGTTTGCTCCGCTCACTCAGCTGGCGGCGATCAGCGGATTGGCGCCGGTCTCCAGAGTTCTAACTGATAACAAGATCCGGACGTGACTCTCCGCTATTACGACTTCCGGTCGCTCGCATGCAGCCTCTGCCGGTGTGAACAACAGTCGCTTTTTGGTCGCCAGTCGCAAATGGTCGCGCGACCACTGCTAGTCACCGGTGCTCACCAGCCTTTAAAGAGCGTGTCCAGCCTGCACCCTTTGCGCAATTTCGCTACTGATGTGAAAGAGCACTGAAGTTGCTCAGCTCTGAGGATCGCCAACGGTGTATGGTGAATATAAATAGCTCGCCATTAGTGGCATATTCAACGTATTCACCGTGGTCTCGGGCCACACGCTTACGAGCGAGAGGGCGTAGTTTCGACGCCCAGTGCCAGAATATTTTTTTCAGGTTTCTTGTTTCTCTGAAATCTTTTTGTTCATATTCAAGGACGTCTAGCCTGCGAGATAGAGGGGGAGAGGATCTGTCAGTGGATACATAGAGAACCCCAGCTTAAAATACTGCTGGGGTAAAAAGAGGTCACTTTAGTCGCTAAAGGTATGCCATTTGCATAACTTTATATGTTCTAGCAAACGTGTTTGATACTATAACTGATAATGTTCGGGCCAGGTTAAAGAACCCCAGGTGGTCGAAATTTCAGGAGCCCTCCACTAAGGCGTCTCTCATAATCATATGGTGGTTTTGTGGTGTTAAACCATGCATATCAATCAGTCAATGTTTGAGTTTATATCTACCACTTATACATCACGAGTACCACGCTTACACTTCTGAGTATTCATTCCATCCTTTGTTGGTGCATGAGTTCTATATTTCAGCAGTACCGGCAGTGAATTGATAACAACATCAATGTACCACCCACTGTTGTGAGCATGCATGCAGTAGTTGCCCCTTTCATCCACGGCTTCTCTGACAAAAAGCAGAAAACTCATGTATTGCCTTATCAAAAGCACTATAAATCTATGTCCGCAATAACAAGATTATTCTACTCTTGTACATAAACAATATAATTGAACTAATGGTAGACAGTTTAAGGGAAGCACCTTGCTAATACAGTTGAAATTGAGTTCATCGATAATATTCTACGCTCGTACCGCTTCATTATATGAAAAAAAGTGGAATAGTAGATGTTTTGGTGTTTTACAATAAAAAAAATCTATTCTATCGGTGTTGTTTTTGTTTGCGCACACCAGTTTAGCTTGAAATTGCGCCTGCATGTCGTAAAAGGCTGGTAGGGTGGCAAGACAAGAAGCTTCGTACATCACAAAGAGATGCTGTTGCGGATCTTGTCATTAGCAAGTCTGGCATCGAACCATACCCACTGAAAACCGTTGCCAACGCTGCCTTCCCGTCACCCAACCACAAGAAAACCGTACGCCAATTTTTCGGCTTCCGTGTCTCCTGCAGAAGTTTCGTCAAGAAAACTGCGTGGATCGCAGAGCCACTAACGCACTTCCTAATCGGTGACGTGGATTTTTATACGCAAACTGTGCAAGTTGAACCATTTCAAGAACTAAAAGGACGCTGGCTGATACTAATGATACTTGAGAATTTTGACGGGTATGCCGATATCTTAATTTGGGGGCTGCCGCAGTCAGCCAAAATGCTGACACCAGGAAGTTTCAATCCAAACTAAAATTGTCAAATGTTGTAAAAGAGAAAATGGCTTTGCAGGTAGTGACGCCGAAGGTCATGCCTATACCGGATCACTGAAATTTCGCATAACTACGTGCCACTCAGCTATCACATGACGCACACCTTACCGCGTACGGATAGACATCGCATTCGAGACGAAGCGCATCCCATATTTAAGTAAAACTTTCAGCGCTAATAGCGGGTAGTGGGCATGTTATATCGAGAAAGCTTGAACAGTATATGTGAGTGTTTATTGATTTGGATAAACAGACAAAAATTGTACATTCCACTATGCAATACTGCGTGTCATCACCTTCGTAAACATACATTTGAATCAGTGAAGTAGCTTGGTTCTGGGAAGTGTCTCTGTATGTTGGCAAAATGAATGGTCAAAGTGAATATATGACAGTCTATGAAAAAACAACAAAAGTAACCATACTAACTTAAGCACAAGATCTGTCCAGGAAATATGAAATTTAATTTCAGAATTCTATTTAGTAGCGACATGCAAACATTTCGACAAAATGGCAAAGTTCCTGTTTCTCCGGCATAAACCTAAAAAACCTGAATCGAAAAAAATTTCCCTCAACTTCGCAGGACTGAATTCCTTCGCGCTAGCTTATGCTTATTAGCCGGACATGGCTATTCCGCGGAGCCGCCGCGCTAAGCTTGCCTGCTGTGCGCGCGGAGTACGAGCGATGAAAGGTCTGCGCTTCTACCGATGGTGCCCCAGCCAGTTTTCTACGTTAGGTTTGGCGCCCACGTTAAGCTCCTAAGGTTTGCATGGATAGTGTAACGTTTAACGTTTAACGTTTGCATGAGTAGTGTAATCCTAGCCTTATTTTTGTTATTTAATATAGGAGCGATAATTTGACTTGACATAGGCACGAACTGGTAGTTTTTGTTTGTGTTGAGTGGGCATGTATATGCTTGAGCATTCAAAGTGTAAGAATCACTGAATTTATGCGAAATGAAAACAGCGCAAAAGATGGAGGCCCGCAAAAAATGACGCCGACAACAGCGATAGCTCGCCACAACGTTTGTTAGTCACAACCGCGCAATCTATGTCTGCGCATATAAAGCAAAGAGAATAGCTATTAAAAAAGGTCTCCCAGTTTGTAAATTTCAATAAGGGGTACCAAGTGGCCTAAGTATCTATTTCAGCTACTTTGTCCTTCCTGATGCCCTTTTGTTGTAAATATCACAAAACAAAGTGGAGAATAAATATTGTAACTTAGAAAACACAATCATTGAAACTATATATGACTAAGAAATCTTAGCGCCACAAAACGGAGACAAAAGAAAGAAACGTAGACAACACGAGCGCAACACGAGCGCGTCTACGTTTCTTTCTTTTGTCTCCGTTTTGTGGCGCTAAGATTTCTTAGTCATGCATCGTTACCAACCCGCCCAACTCGCCGCACTCGTCAAACTATATACCCTAAAGCTCATTTCTTGTGAGTCATAGACGCATACTAAAACATTATTAGTAGTTGTGAGAGACGCGACTAACGCGCAGTGGGATTTCACTTACAACTTAAGAAACACGGTAACAAACATAAATAAAGTGTAACTTTCCTGGCCCATTTTTTTTTCTTTTACGAAGAATAGTAATGAAAACTAAGAGACAATGATGCCGAGGAATGTAAAAGGTAAGTTATTAGAAATAATTGTGCTATAAAAATCAAGGAAGAGGACGAAAAGGCAACCTGTTGCCAACAAAGACCAACCCTTTGATTTTCGAACACGGCATTCAATACTATACCCCTGAGCTTTTAGGGTATATATGTGCATTTAAACATAGGAGCGTCTGTCGGTGCAGCCAGTACTCATTACTGCTCGTGTGAAACACTGAATATTCTGGCACTCAGTTCGCCTAATTGAGTATGTAAAAGTATACTGGAATTTTATTTGTCTTACAATGATTTTAAACAGCCCTTAAATACATAATCAGGTGCAGAGACAAAAACCTAGCGGAGATGGTGTTTTCTTGGTACTTGTTGTCCTTGAATGATAAGTTGTTGCTCTATCTTCGTGTTGAGTATCTCTTGACATTTCGGCTGATATACCGGAGAAGGTGCTCTAGCGAACTTTGCGAAATTTTTCATACATCCTTTGCTAGGTCCACGCGATAAAGAGGAGTTTCGAACTCTGAGGTCATAGATGAGTTCGGGACCTAAAAAAAAAGAAATAAAACAACTTTGGAACTTGGTTTGGACGCATGCCAAGAGCATAGCCATCGCATGCTAGTCAGTAATAACAAAATCTGTTTTTCTTGCAGGGGCAAGGGGGGTATTTCGTCCCACCGAAATAAACAGGAAAATGGTTGTAGATGCAATAGTGAAAAATATGTCGGTGCCCTATTGCATTGTTCTTATTGCATTGCCGTGTATCTAGTCCTATTACCTAAGAGCATTTGCATTTGTTAAGTTGAACTAGAATGGACCAGTGCAAGTTTCAGAGAAAGGAATCTGGTACGACAAACCGCTTGTGTTTGAGCAGCAGTTGTTTTGTTTCACATAAGGATCACTTCCAAAGATGCGGTAGAGTCTTTTCAAAAAAGCCTTTAGTCAACACAAACATGCCGGCAATAACAAAAATGCCTGAAAAAGGTAAGTAGCGTCTTCTAGAATATCCTAGTGCACTGTCTAAAGATAAGGTTACAACTTTTAAAAGGGAAGCATAAATGAAGAAAGAGGGGCACGGCAGCGTTAGCGATGGTACTGATATAATCTTGCCGCAGAAAGTGGTGTGAAATTTTAGCATAGCTCTGGTATTCTTAACAAGTAGGTTCACATGACCACTGTAATAAAATTGGTCAGGTTTTACATCAGAAAGGCACTGCATGATTACGATGGCAGCCGTAGTTGAGGGCTTCGGGAATTTTTACCCCTGGTATTTTTTAAGGTGCACTGGAGTCACACAGTACACGAACCTTACGCATCATGTTTCCGTCGAAAAGCTACCGTAGTAGCTGCAATTGAACTTGCCTCTTCGGGTGAGCAGCCAAGTAAGTTAACCGCTATGCCAGCGTGGTGGACATAATATGGCTGCTCTCAAAGAAATTATGCGTTTTCTTCTGGCGATGCACAAACATATTCTATAGTCAAGACCACCTTTAAAACCTAAAACCTTTAGAACCGCATGAGGTTATTCGAGAAAAAGATTGCTTACGCTTTTTTATTGTGTAATTTTTGTTGTACTGCGTGCGACCACATATTGATAACAAGTTTTCACAGGGGCATTTCAATTTGTAGACGCCGTGCCTACGAGGTTCTTGTAAAACGTGAAACAACCCGCTTATGATCACTAGTCCTGTTTCGCGACCGCGCTGCTCTACGCAAAAAATCGTAAGTATTGGGGCGTTGCTCACAGTTTTAGATTTATTCCGGATATGCACTGTGTTTTGAATTGATACCAGTTATGAATGTTTAGTTGCCTATTGACGTAACGAATGTTGTCACTCGGGGAGCTTTTAAGTAGTGCGTTGGGCAAGCAGATGCCTGCTGCACTGTGCCTATTACGAGGTGAAACATTTCAACTTTTGGCATGATGATAAACTGCTTAGAGTTATCAACAAAGATATTCATGCTGTGAAACGCGATGGCAGAGCTGTCAGCGAGCAAGGATATTTGTATGGTGAAGATGACGACCGCCATTGTGATTAACAGAATAATAAATCTGCTGATGAGGTCAATTATGTACAATAATGATTGTTTTGAAGCGAAACCATTAGCGAGCAAAAGGCCAGTAAACGATTTCGTGAAATATCGCAGGGAGCCTTATGAGTTCGCCTATGGTGACTCGAAGGTGAAGCATAAGCATTTAGGTACATTTTAGAGGTGAAATAAAATATACTATAAACGTTTGCTGTGTCCGCTCGTTTCCTCTGTATGCTAGGAGTTTCCTAGCATACAGAGGAAACCCAGAAAAGGCCCGTTCTAGCCTAGAAATTTGATGGCACCACCCCTTTAACAGTTCTGTCAGCAAGCGCATCAACGAAATGTATCGTGGTGTAGTTCATTCTCACCCCTTGTAGAAGCCACAATCGCAAGATGTGTAATGCGAATGCAAAGTTTCAACAATACATTTGCCATCTCTTACAGGGAATACATATAACTATTCTGTGGAAAATAATGAAAACTTCAGTGGCATACACTGCTTAAGTGTGTCTGTTTTCTTTGTGCACAGAACGTGCACCTTAAGATTTCAATAGTAATCTATGTCCTTGGTAGTCATAATAGCCTGATTATGAGAACCACTCAGAGCGTATTCGCTACTTTCTTCCTGAATCCACATGAACAGCCTTTTCATTACTTTGAGTGCTTGGAAGACAAATTCGCTTGTTTTTAAAGCACAGTTGTTCAAGAGAATGTAGGTCTTCCCATTGCATGAACCATGTAGAAGTTCCTTGCCTTACGTCGTCTACGCTATCAGGGAAGGAAAGAAAATAGGAGAAAAAGAACGACAGGGAGGTTAACCAGTCTATAGGCAGCCGGTTTGCTACGCTGCGCATGTGAGGGGGATGGGGGAGATAAAAAATAGAGAGAAGAGAGGGAAGAGAGATAAGCAAAGCACATTAAGCAGCACACGCGCCTGCATCAATAAAACCTTTGCGCGTCCTATGACATAGCATAGAGACTGCGTGGCATAACTACTAATCGTCAGCTGGTGTGCGTGGAAGCCAACAGTGTCATATCGACAGTTGTCAGGCACTAACATCTAAGTCGGACGTGCTGCTTTAAAAAACCTTCCCAGTACTGAAAAAGAAATTGCCTCAAAAGTAAAATATTTTGCATGACTGTGAGCCTGCATTATGCAAACGCGGGGAGAGACCAATTCTGATGCTGGCCGCCAACTTCAGCATTCCGTGTTCGCCATATTTGAATTATAATGCGTTCAGCTTGTTTTCTTCTGTGAACCTAAAGAAAAGAAACAGGTAAAAGTATCATGATCATCAGAAGAACTGCTTATGTTCCTGAGGATTTAGTGCCGTTATAAAAAAGTCCCTTGATCTTGGTCTAAGCACAACTTCAATGTTCAACATCTCTGCTCTATTTTCGACTTTAGCATGTTCCAAAATCTCCACGGGAGGAACTGTATTCGAGACCACCCTTTTGTATGAGCACTCAACTTATCGCAGTTTATTCAGTAATGTATCATGTTCATTTACTACTTACCTGCAGATTCAAGACCTAGAAAGAAAGAAAATGAAAGCAATATTTATTTTATGCTTAATCTTAGTAAAAACGTAAGATAAAAAAATGTGACGTATTAATTGGCACAGACGGAATAAGCCAACAAGGGTTTGCTGTATCTGGTGGGCATCTAGCTCGTCCGCACTTGGCGAGGCTTTCACCCACTCAGCTTCTTTTTTTTTTCATCCCTTTCTACACTATACAATATCTTTTACTAGCGCCTGCGTTATCTGTTATGCTTATATATCACTTTCGTACTGTACATGCAGCAAAATCTCGGTCATAACAGTTCTGCTGTAACTGTTATAGCGTATATGTGCCAGAAAATTTTGAAACGTAGAATAACTCTGGTCTACCAAAAACACGAAAAAAACACTGCAGAGGAACACCGATTGCGGTAAGAACTTTGCATCATCACTTGTTAACCCTATGTACCATGTGAATCGGTGGTGGCTCTGTGCGTTCCGGTAAAAGATGATGATCACTTTTCAAGTACAATACACGCGTCCCGCCGCGGTGGTCCAGTGGCTAAGGCACTCGGCTGCTGACCCGCAGGTCGCGGGATCGAATCCCGGCTGCGGCGGCTGCATTTCCAATGGAGGCGGAAAAGTTGTACGCCCATGTGCTCAGATTTTGGTGCACAATAAAGAACCCCAGGTGGTCGAAATTTCCGGAGCCCTCCATTATGACGTCTCTCATAATCTTATGGTGGTTTTGGGACGTTAAACCCCACATATTCATGTACGATACACGTGACCTCGACCCTAATAGCTATTCTGTAGCAGAAGTGCTGGATGCCGAGAACATTACATATTGTCTATTCACCTACAATTATCGCACCTAAACTCGGCGACAACTTCTCTTGAGAGCATGCTCTCGAGAAAAGTGGTCGCTGAGTGGAAGTGACGGCCCCAAAGTTCTGCTTTATTTATTTGGAAGATGAAACAGTTGGAGCAAGCCGTAGGTAGAACACATGTATTGTTCACTTCGCAGGAATGTCTTCCGTTTCCTTCGTTCGTAGTATACACCATATTTTCAGCCCACTCGCTTTCAAGAGTGAGACGAGCACCCGTGGCGCAGTGGCTGATTGTGCTGCGCAAATGGGCATTTAAGGTTTTAAAGTAAAATACATATGCTCATAATACGATCATGATAAAATTGCATAGGTCACGAGACACGGAAAGAAAAGTGTCGTAAACATATTGCCATGAGCTTCAACGCCCGCTCATGACTGAAGTGTGACTGGGTGAGGAAGGGACAAACAACCAAAACCAATTGAAATTGTTTGAACAACCAACCAATTTAAAATTTCCTTTCGAATAGTCGTAATTTTATATACGTCAAAGCTAACTGTACATTTACTTTATGGTTTATCTTACATTTGGTGAAATGGCTGATTGCCTCATTTTTGATCGAGGGCCGAAAATGGGGGGCGTATCCAGGCAATCTGCTATCAGGGCTTGTGTTCGGCGCATTGCCGGGTCAGCGAGACATCGCCTACTTTTGCGTGGTGGCTCCGTGCGTACCTTATGTAGTTTATTTGCTTATGTGCTCTTCATTAGCGTGACAGTTCAGAGCTGAACGAGCTCTCATGTGTAAATAGCCGCTCCTGTGACAGCTGACCGCCTTCGCTGGCACACAGCCTTTGGTGATGGTGACAGCGGCACGCTGTACCATCACGGACGCTGTATTCTACGGTCACCAAAGCTATATTATCAAGGCTGCTTGCTTTCTCGCTGCTGCGGTTTTCCGTGACTGTGCGACATGAGTTTTCGAACTTTGTGCTATCGTGGTCGTGATATCACGCTTTATGTTTTCGGTGTGAGTAGCCCGTACGCTATTTGGCTAATAAAACAACCCTGCTTCCTCAGTCTTTTCTGTTGGTCTTCGTTTTCTATTGCGCACGTAATTAGCGAGCTCTAACGCACAATGCAATCGCGTACATTTAACGGCATGCAAATAGTCAGCAAATAAAAAAATTTCAATTTCGCGCCATGACGAACAAATGCACTACGCCACTACCACTTCAAGTTGTGACGTCATATTTTATTCTTATTTTTTGTTTGCTGTTAGTTGTCCCCTCTATACGTTGGAGGCGACGTTGGCGAGCCGCCAACTACTGCATACACGGGCTTCTATGGAAGTTACGCTACTCGTGTACATATACCTTGGGTTGAGGGGCGTATTCAGACAATCTGCTATCAGAGGTTCTGTTTAGTTGTGTGTGTTGTTTGGTTCGGTGCATTGCGAGGTGAACGAGGCATAGCTCACGTTTCCGTGATTGCTTCGTGCTTACCTTCCGTAGTTTAATCATTTTCTTATGTGATGTTGACAGGGGTGACAATTCAGACCTGAACTAGCTCACAGAATGTGTCCATTGCCACTGCTGTGACTGTCGACTGCATTCGCTGGCGCACGTCTGGCGTGCCCTCGCCTTTGGTGACGGCGAATGCCTCATGCAAAGCAACGAGACGCTGCGCTCTACGGTTTCCAAAGCTACACTTTCAAAGCTGCTGTCTTGCTGCAGTAATTTTCGACGATTGGGAAACGTGAGTTTTTGAACTAATATGCTGTTAAGATTGTGAACAGTTGTGCCGCAATTGTATTCTCAAAGTTTTTTGTGCGCTTGGTAAGTACGCCGTTTGGGTAGTGTAAGGTGTCTTTGCTCTCCTAATGTTTTTTTTTCTTTTCTTTGCCGCATGCGATTAGTGAGCCACGAGGCGCAATAAAATTGCCTATTAATAACGGAATGTAAAAGCTTAAAAATTAAGAAACATTTCAATATCGCGCCATGTAGCGCAAACGCACGACGTCGCTACCACTTCCGGTTGCGATGTCATACTTTTTATACTTTTCGTTTGCCCATATGGTGGTTTTGGCACGTTAAACCCCACATATTGATCATTTTTTGTTCGCTGTTGGTTGTCCCTTCCATACATAGATGGCGACGATGACATGCCGCTACCTAGTGAATTAATGGGCTTCTATGGAAGTTACGCTACCAGTTTACATATACCTTGATACAACATTAAAATTTACACTGAGCTATCGAAATGTTGATATAATTCACGTTTTCGTCAATAGTTTTTTGAACGTGTTCACATTGCGAGCGAGCGAAACAAAAACCAGCCGCAAGCTGCCGTAATACTTGTTGAGCAACACGACTGTGCGCAATCCCCGCTACTACAGCCTGCGATTCAATGTCAAGATAAGTTGTCACCGAACAGAGTTGTCACCGAACCGATAGTAGAGGTTTTTACCTTCACTTGCACACCTTTTATTTAAAAATATGCTCAACAGAAGTCTTGGTAACTCTCGGGTACTCTTATCTCTGCAGTTATTACAGCGTAATAAATGAAAATTACACCATTACACGTCTAGAGGAGAGAGAGTGTGGAGTGAGCTTAGACTAGCAGACGCTGTCTGCGTCGGCGTTGCGAGGCAGGAGACACGGGAGCTTAAGAGAGGGCGAATACGCTGCACACCAGA